TGATGCAGGCTTTCAGAGGTGAGGTCATCACTGAGGGTGCCTCGTGTGTAGATGCCAGAAGGCAGAGTGGCTGAGTACCCACCTCACAGTAATCAGGGTACTTGTAGCTATGACTGTTGACATGCTCTCTGTTAGTCAGGACAGCTCTGCCCATGGGTGACAGTCAATACCACAGGGCTCTGATTCCTGGATCCTCAGATTTCCCACCTTCTAAGTTTTATTTTTTGCATCTGTAAAACGAGGTTAAACACTGCACATACTTCAAAGTACCTTATGTAGATTAGATGAGGACGTGACACATGAAGCATATTTTTAAGCAATGGTCCTGCGGTTCCTCTCTGGCTTTCTTCATAGGGACTAAACCAGGAAACCTTTCTCTCTGGACTCTTCACTGATTATAACCCATCTTATCAGCTCCCTGGTGGAATGTTGTACTAAAGGAGCTGGAATAGCTAGCTTCAGACAGGGCTACTGTCACTTATTCACACACTCTCCCCTGATGCCCCTGATGAGCCAAGCTTCTAGAGGGCAGTGTTGTGTCTTTCTCCTGCCTCCCCTGTGCTGCCCTATGAGGAGAGGCTACCTGAGAAAGGGGCAAGTCAGAGAATACCCCTGTATCCTTGAGAGTTGACCTAACCCCCAGGCTGACCCTGGCATCACACTCCATTCAGCTGACATGGCATCCAGTCCCAGTTCCCTCTGCCTTTCCTAGAAGATGTTATCTCATCTGAACAACCTCTGGCTGTTGGGAAGTCTGTTTCAGGACACCAGTCCCAGGAAAAAGCTTGAGACAGAGCCTGGAGATGAGACCTAAAGGGCATTTGTGATGAGAAAAGCAGGACGTGTGAGGATGAGCCTGGGCAGACAAGCATGGCCTCGGTCTTAGCATCCATGGAGGAGTGGGACTAACTACAACAGCAGATCCAAGTCGCTTAAAGACAGGCAAACATCACATTCTCTTGTGACCCCTACTTTCTTGAATGCTCAGTATTCTACTTTGTTCAGTTACAAGTTCTACTTAGAATAAACTGGATGAACTATTAACTGACTTATATGAACAGGACCGGTAAAGGCATGCAGCCAAGAAATGCCCAATATGGCGACACTAATGCTAAGACATGATGAGCAGCCTACCATGGACCCCCACCTAGTTTACACCCAAAGGTGTAACCAATCAGTAGAGGACTAAATGACATAAGAGGGGAACATAAAAAGGGCACCTGCTGAGGACCCAGCAGAGTGTGCTTTCTAATGTCCTCCAATGCTCAAAAGCAACATACATTAGCATCAAGGGACTCTCTCATGTACGTGCCTCTCCTAGCCAAAGGATCTCTCTCTCCTAAGTAAGAGACATCTTGCTGAGTGGAATGAGCTCCTGGCAATCTCAGCCTCAACGAACTGACTGCTTGGTGTGGCTCCCTAGTGAAGCACAAGCCTTACCTACTGCAGTGCCCTGCAAGGTGACTGACTCCTTCTTGCTGTGACTCCCTCTTGGACCTTGTAAGTATACATTTGAAGTGTGAATAAATGTTGTTACATTGACCCAAGTGTCTGAGTGGTCTTTGAGGGACATTGCTGTGGTTTCATTGTCTTTACCCTAAGTCTGCTTGGGGCAATATCCCAATCCCACCGTATGGATACTCTCCTGGGTTCAGGACCTAGCTAACTACACCCTAACGGTAAGGAGGATGAAGTCCTGTTCAAGACAGTCATACTAAGGAATTACAGTCAACATTCCATTTTGGAATGAGATAGCCAATGAAAAAGAGTAGTTACATATGTTGTCACCAGAATGAAGTTGAAGCTTAAGAAAAACTGTAGAGCTCTTTCTCTTCATTATACCTTATAAAGTTCAACATCAACCAGACTGATTTATTATTTATTTTCTATTATTATACAGGTAAGAAATAGATCTTCATGAGTCAATTTTGAAAAAGCAAAGGGGAGAAACCAAAGTCTTCTTCTGGTGGACTGCAGGCTTCTAGAAGTCAAGACCTGCCTTTCCATTTATAATTCTAGAGAGAAGCCAACAAAAAAGCCCCAGCTTGCAGGGAATGCATCTGTCTTCAAAGGTTATATGCCTTCTGAGGGACTCTTTGAATATAAAAGAAAAGTTTCTGAAATTAGGACTAAGATAAAAAAAATTGTCTTTATCATTTTTAAGATGCAGCAAAAAGAAATAAAAGCAATAAAACAAGACAAAATAAGGAACACTAAATGCTTAGAGGAAGAGGGCAATGTAAGTGGTGGGGCATACAACATGAGTTCACACACTTAATCAAGGGAAGGACTTTGTGTCAGGATAAAAGTGAGGAGGGATAAACAGCCTTGATTTCAGCAGCCTCAGCGGGCATGGGAGACACAGGATCAAACAAAATGAAGACCAGGACGGCTTCTTTCTGATTTCCCTAAAGCCATCTGTTCTTATCCTAAAGGCTGTAGAAGGCTATAGAGGTTTTATTTATTTATTTATTTATTTTGAGACTCTTGAATAAACCAGATCCTGTTCTGTCCTTAGGAAAACTTGTTTATACTGTATTCCCTTTTTAGACCTCGGGAAAGTTGGTGAACTCACTTCTTCCTCATTAGCCTAAATTCTTCCATACTCAGCAAATATCAACAGGAAGAGGTTGCAGTCATTGATAACAGTGAAGGCTGGGAGCTCACACAGGGCCTTAACAAGCACCGAACCAACACAGCGAAACACAGAGACACAATCTCAGCTCATGTTTATAGGATAATGGGCTTGAAAGCACAGGAGAAGATACTGAAATCTAGGTAAATTTATTCCCACAGTGACAACAGTATCAACTCTGACACAATTCACATCAGTCTAAAGATTCATTTTGGAACTGTCAAGGCTTTCAAGCAGAAAATTATTCTCAGAGGCTGAAACTTGGTTAAACAAATTTCACTGCACCAGGAAAAGCGAAGTTACTTTTGGAAGTATGGGGAAGAAATCTCAGGCAGGAAACCAGAAAATAACAGTGTCAGCCAGAGAGGAAGCACCACCTCCACACTGGGGGCCAGGAAGGGAGGAGGTGACCTGGACCCATCCAGAGGGTCAGCCTAATGTGTCTGGAAAGAGATGAAGAATCAGAGGATAGAAGTTGGGAAGTTTGGACTAGTAACCAAAATGGTGGCAATTTGAGCAAGAAATAATGACAGTATTGGATACCCATTCAATGAAGTAGTTATTCACAATGCCAAACTGATATAAATACATAATGAATAAATAAGTAGCAAGGGATGGTGAGAGAGGTGACAGATCTTCACAGTAGAATATTTACCAATAAATGAAGGAATAATGAAAACAGAAAACTCCACTAGAGAAATATTACAGTAATTGTTGCAGGCAATGGTTATTGACAGATCATCAAATTAATGAGGAAAATTATGAGAAAAAGGTCTAGTATCTATGAAGGTTTTTAATATCATCAGAAACAGTTCAAAGTATCTTTCCCAAAGGTATGTGTTAATTATAAAATGGTACCTGTACAGGGGAGAACCTGGCAGACACAAGCTGCTCTGCCGACACAAATCTTATCTGTGGCATTCTTGCCTCACATATGTAACCTCAATGTAATGAAAAATCCAGAGAAATCCAAAGTCAGAGGCAGTCTGTACAGTAATAAATCTAAATGCTTTACAAACTCAAGGTCATGAAAGACCAGTTCAGGTTGAGGTAAATGAGACACAAGTATGTTAAATCAATGTGTAGACTGGACTGGATCTTGTTTCAGAAAAGGGCATTGCTAGAGATTTGAAAGTTCAAAAAAAGGTCTAGAGGTGAAAAAGAGCACTGAACCAATGTTAACTTCCTAGTTTTGATAGTTCTATCTACGGTTTAGGTCAGATGTTACAGTGGAAGAAGCCAGGTTAAGAGTAGATTGGGACTTCATTTTCTAAGTCTAATATTACAACACAAGAAATTAAAAAAGAATAGAGCTTAGCTTGACTTCATTTGGCAGCTGTCAGAACCAGGCTGAGAGGCACACATTTCTCAGGTGAGACCTAAGACCCTGATGGAAATTATGGAGAGGAGAGTTGAAGAAGGTATAGCAATATAGATGTCTGCCATTCTCAACTGCTATATCACCAGTGGGCGATACTCCCTAAAATAATGGTGTTGGCCCTGCATCCCAGGAATGCCCATCCCTTACGTACATCCTTGAGTTCAAGATCAATCATGGCCTCTAACAATGGAGAAGATGTAGCATGAAACTTACAGAGAAGATATAGCAAGGGAGTCTGGGGAAACCATAGTGTGTTTTAAGGATAATATCAAACAAGAAAAGTAAAGTAAGTACTTGAAATGTAGGGAAAAGAGCAAGCAAGCCAGACCATCTGGAGTTTACAGAGGAAAGAAAGAAAAGTTGGCCTCCTAACTAGTATTGGAGGCTTAGCCAGTGAGGGGATCCTCAATAATCTCCCTTCACCAGAGTTTTCAAAAGTTAAACAAATAGGTCAAGTCATTCTGCTTATTTTGCCCAACAAAAAAAGTCACGTCATAAAAATAAATTTTTTAGTGAACTCCTTTTTCTTGATCTTGTAATTCTGAGAACCCTTAAAATAAGAAAAGAAACTTATCTGAATAATATTGTTACGTGATAAATAGAAATAATTCTTACACACATTACTGTGGTCATTACTTGCTAAGTATTAAAATATTTGTGAAGATATGCGCCCAACAAAAGTGCTTATAAGGCCTTATGAAAGGAGATACAAAGCTTTATGTCCCAAACATGGATTTCACCTTAAAACCTTGACTATTTAGCCTAATTTCAAATAGTTACAGAGTGGGTTGTGTACTGCCAGATATCAAAATATCTCTCATTGTGGAGTTAACAGTTTTGTGGCACACCTGCAGAATCATACTTGAAGCAAACAACATAGTATCATTTTGAAGACAGTACTGTGACTGAACCATGATGGTGGTCCATACATACCTCCCACTGCATTACAGCGAGATGTCATTTCCCAGAGCACCAGAGCCATGGAGTACACGTCAGTCTGCTTGAAGGACTCAACATTCTCCAAATTCATCCTGGATTCTAGAACTTCTGGGGCCATGTATCTTGCAGTTCCCACCTAAAGCCAAAACAGATATTGAGGCCTATCATTGAATTCCGGGTACATATTTATTTTCACAGCATGAGCTGATATTAAAAAAACATAATTCTGTTTTAAACAGTAAGACCTGCACAGAAAGATACAGCACATATGGTTATCTTTAAAAATGGATGTTCTCTCCCTGAAAATTTTTTAAAGACTACAAACAAAACATGAAAACTAAGGATGTGCAAAAGCCTCATCTAGCTCCATGACATGTCACCACATCACTGAGTAACACCCTCACAGATAACCTGTGAGACCACATCTATGACTTTTTAGAGTTTTAGTCTTGCTTTTGAAAATTAAACATTTTTTATTCTTGAAACTCCAGGATGAAAGTAATTGCCATCAGTTTTGATTAGTTATATACTGTTATATACTGTTTTAATTTCTGTTTATCCCATGGCACATTCCATGGGATAAATGTGTAAGAATATAGTATAATTTCATGAATCTCTATGAATTAAAATTGTATAAAAAGTATTTTCATAGTAAAAGACCAAATCTGAATCATATAATTTTGATGGGTGTCATATTTTGAAATTAAGCCTTGTGCTAATCTCTATGATTGATAATAACCAAACATGGGACCCGCAGTGCAAAGTAAATATATAGATAAATTTTTCTCAATGGTACTGGGCTTTGAACCCAGAGCCTTGTGCTTGCTAGGTAAGTGCTCTGCCACTTGAACCATGCCTTCAGACCCTTTTTTGCTTTCAGTCATGTTTCAGATAGGGTCCTCTGTTTTTGCCCAGTGTCAGCCTGGAGGGTAATCCTCCTACCTACAGTTTCCTGAGTAGCTGGGACCACAGGCATGCTTCCATGCCCAGCTTATTTACCGAGATGGGGTCTTGCTAACTTTTTGCCTGGGTTAGCTTCAAACAGCTATTCTCCCACTCTCTGCCTCCCATGTTGGCTGGAGGAAAAACTATTTCTGGGAAAAACTCTTTGGGCTCAAATGTTTGATATTGCAGCATACACAGTTTGACTAACTAACAATTGTCCTACATGCCAATGATCTAAGGCCAAGTGATTTGAAACTGGCCTGGCATATTAGTTTGTTTGCATTTCAACATGCTGACCTCAACACTGCATGTGCTGCCATGGACACAGAGGGCTGACTGGGCAGTAACTTCTGAAGTTCAGCACTTCCGAGTGTGTCAGAAGCACATCCTGCCACCTGGTCAGAGAAAATAATGGTGCTCTCAATGGACTCCACTTTGTGACTATGTGGGGCCCATCATCCAGAAAGGGTGTTCTTGTAGTTTCTAGTCACTTTCCAGTAACTCCTTAACCAAAAAGGTTCCATTTTAATCTGAGAGTGCTTCAAAAGCAGAATCGTTCGTTCACTCAACAAATACTTATCAGTCACTTTCACTGTCCAAGGCACTATGCTAGGTGGTCACATGGACAAGGAGCTGGACTTCAAGGACACTACCTTTAAGAATTTGTAAATCAATATAACTACCAATAGTGAAGAGGAGAAAGGACCAAGAACAACTACAAGAGATGGAGAAAAAAATCACAGATAAAATACCAAAAGTGCTTGAAACAAAGAAATATCATTCACAAATGGAAGAGAACTGAGGAGGGACTCAGAAAGAAATGAGTATTCTGAGTTGGGCAGGATCTGAAGACAGGAAAGTAAAAGGGGAATTCTTTGGGATATGAAAGGGGAAAAGGAGGAGGGGGGATAAGGTTCATAGAAGGAGTGAACACGATATGCATGCATAGAAATGTCATAATGAACCCCATTAGTATGTAAAGTGGATACACATTAATAAAAACATCAAGAAAAAATTCCAGCAATTAAAAATAAAGATGCAGGGTTAGGCCAGCCACAAAGTCAGAGGCATGAACACTGGATCTAACTTACCTGCCCACTGTTAGCCAGGTCATCTACAGACAGAGTAGGGTCCAGACGCAGGGACAGCCCAAAGTCACAAAGGCAGCAGGTAAGGTCGTTCTTCACAAGGATATTGGAGCTCTTGAGGTCCCTGTGCACGATGGGCATCTTGGGCCTCCCACACGGAGTGTGGTCACTGTGGAGGTGAGCAATGCCCCAGGCCAGGGAGCTGCCCAGCTTGCGCAGATCCTCCCAGCTGATGACGTGCCGTGTGAGGTACTCCTGGAGGTTACCCTTGGCATGGAAAGCAGTGATGAGCCAGTACTGTTTCCCTAGCTCTGTCTTCCGCTCCTCAGCTGTCAGGAACTGGAGAATGTTCTCATGCTTTAGGTTGATGTCCGAGAAGATATCCTTCTCTGTTTTCCAGGAGGCATACTCCTCATAGGGGAAGATCTTGACGGCCACGGTCTCAAACTGCTCTGACGTGTTCTGTTTCAACTTGGCCTTGTAGACCTCTGCGAAGCGCCCCTTCCCCACCAGGATGTCCAGCTCGATAGGCAGCAGCTCAGTGTTGTGGTTGATGTTGTTGGCGCATGTGGAGCTGATATCAGAGCGGTCATCTTCCAGGATGATGGCACAGTGCTCACTGAAGTCCATGAGCTTCCCAGGCTTGCTGCTTTCCCAGGATGGACTCAGCTTCTGCTGCCGGTGAACACGGTAGCAGTAGAAGGTGACGATGACAGCTATGGCGATCCCTAGTGGTGGTAGGAGGCTGACGCCTGTCACTTGGATTATGACTAACAACAAGTCAGGACTGCTGGTGGTATATTCTGATGTGGAGATAAAACAAAGAGAAAGGGTTGGGTTCAGGATGCATGAACTTCCAGGCAGTGAGCTTGTGCTCAAGCATCTATAATGTTAGCATCTGAATGGTTTCTATGAATATTATACTGTGAATTTTTTTTCCCAGTGATGCTGGTGTGCACTCATCCATTCTGCCTTGCCACTGATCATTGCCTTTCCCTAAGGGAAACCTAGGAAAACCTGGTAAAATATTTTACTATTTATACTCTCATAGCACCTATACTTTTCCTATGCAACATTTTTGCATGATTTGAAATAAATCACTATGACCTCACTTTCTGATTTTGTATCTGCCTTCCCAACCCACAGCACTGATCAGATCCTTAATTGCTGAATGGATATGAAACATCTCCTGAGTGGCAGGGAGGGTCTAGGCATTGCAGCAGGCATGGGGAATACAGACAGAATACTAGAGTGCCTGCCTTCAAAATGCTTGCACAGATGGATGGTATCTGGTGGAAACACAGTGCCACAGTTGTGCCATGGTCTGTGCTTTTTTCCAAGTTCCACGCTGTTCTGCTCTGATCAGCATCTGGGCTGCAATAAACATTAAGCTGTGGGACTGAGGATGTAGAGAGTCTCTGGAAAGGGTCTCTTTGGAAGTGTGTTACCTTATGTCCGCCAAATACTCCTCTTTTCACTACGCATGTAATTTATGGTTTTATAGAACAGGAATAATTAATAGCAACGATGGAAACACTACTACAAGAGTAAAAGAAGTGGAAACACAGCTCGTGTTCTGACGTGGGCTGCTGAGGGAGAGTCTGTGGCTCCTGAGATCTAACAACAATGTTTTATACATCAAACTTTGGTTCATGTGACAGCCTTGGTTGGGTCTGGTTTGTTTTCCCCCTGGGTAGAAGGACATAGATAGGAACACACAGTGGGCAGGAGACATAAAAGGCAGATATAGTTAGTGAGAGCTTTTGCTTAGTGCTTCCATTGGGCAAGAATGCTAGAATTCTATTACTTTATGTCTCACTCATCCGCCCTTGAAGGGACTCATTAACAAGCAGGCCTCAGGTTCTTATGTCAGATCCATTCACTACACGCATCACTACTGGGTATCCACTGTGGGCAAGGCACCCAGGGGAGGAGGGAGTCAGGGCATGTACACAAATGCTGAGTGATATATGGCACTTTGCGATGGGAGCAAATGTATATAGTCTATATGTTAGTGGAGTGTAAAAAAGCTTAGAGAAACACGGAAGGCAAAGTGGCAAGGACACCTTATGAGTTGGTCTCTGATGGACTGGAAAGGCCAATAATTGATGGAAAGTGTTATGTTAAAGAGAAAGAATATGTGACCTGTACAAAGAATTTTTCCAGAATTGCTCTTCACAGGGGAATAGAAAGGGAAAAAGTTGAGTAGGTGGTATGGAACCAGACCTAGTGTCAGAGAAAGCATTTGTAATAATCCAATAGCTAATTCTCACCTATTATAGGTATTTGAGGAAAAAAATGTGATGAGAATACAAAGTAGACAGTTATAGCTTCTCAAAGGAAACTGATTATCTGAATGGCATTTGAAGCCATCACTTAATGAAATAAGTCAGGAATGAGTTGGAGCTAGGACCTGTCAATCCAGAATGTTCAGGTCCAGTGAGTCACCACCTGTTCTTAAGGAAGTCTAAATGGAAATGCCAGCTTTTACTGACTCTAATTCCTAAGCCCTTAAGTCTACTTGAGGCCACTAAAAACTGGAGAAGTAACCCTAAAACCTAAGAATTTCAGCAACTAGGAGATGATACATCAATGCACTTAAAAAACAGAGAGAGGTACACAATTTGGCAAGTGGTCCTTGAAAATACAAATTTGTACTCAACACTGTGAGGCCTGAATTGGGACAAGAGTCAGGTAGGACTGTGGCAGTAGAAGTGGTGGGGACTGAAGAGATCACAGAAAGGAGAATGCAAAAGAAAAGCATGCACCTGTGGAGATGTGTGGACTGTACCTGTTGTCCCATAAAAATACACAGCAAAATTAGACACTAATGAAATGATACCCCTTTGTCTTGACTCCCCACATCTGAAACACATCTGGAATGCCTCATATCATAAACTGGCTTGATTAGTTACTTGGTTATTTCTCAGGATAAAGAAAGCTCCACCTGGGCAATGGCCAGGTCCATTTTGATAACCAGGCTGAACCAGCAGCCAGGATTACAGACCTGTACCACCATTCCCAGTTTGTTTTGTTGAGGTGGGAGCACTCACTAACTTTTTGCCTGGACTGGTCTTGAACTGTGATCCTCCTGATCTGTACCTTCCAAGTATCTTGGATTATAGGCTTGTACCACCATGCCTGGCCCTTTATTTTCATTTTTAGAGGTGATAATGACCTCTTTGTTCTGCTACATGGATATTCAAATGGTATTTATTCTCTTAATTAAACTTAGTATGAAACAAATATTTACAAGCTGTCCTTTTTATGTTTATTTCTTATTATTGTTGTACTGAGGGTGCACTGTGACATTTACAAAAGTTCTTACAATACATCATAGTTGGATTCACACACACATTCCTTGACACAGATCAGATATAGCTCATAAAGCGAATACATTTGCTATCTGGTCCTTCATGAAAAAGTTTGCAGGCCTCTGATCTTGGTGTTATTTTTAATATCCTGTAATACATTAACAGAATTTGGAAAGACTTTACTTTGGTCCAACTACTCTTTTCACATGTAAGGGAATGCAATTAGAACATTTTAAAGTTTAAACTGCTTAACTACTTAGTTGTATTTCCAATTCATTAAAGCATCCGAGTGAACTGCTCATTTATCACTGGTAATTTTATTTTATAATTCCTAGCCACATACAAAAAACATTCCACTTGCTAATTTCTATTCCTTTTCAGGCTAAAGAAAACACAAAAACAGAAATCCCATGAGGTTTATGTGTGGTACTGACTACAAGAAGATTCTCAAAATCCCTGTTCAATGTCAGAAACCAAAGCTTTCCTTTCCCCTCCCTCAAATTTCCTGTAATTTCTTTCTGAAAACCTACATGTAAAAATTTGTGGGGGGGAGGAATTATTGAACAACATCTGCCAATCTTGAAACCTCAAAGAGGTGGTGAAATACTGTAACAATAGCAACCAGGGCTGGAAGGAAGCCTTGGGTTGTGGTTCAATCTAAACAGGAGCCACCCAGGCCCTTCTGCAGTCTTAACCCCTGGGTAGCTGCTGGAGAAAGAGACAGTGTGGGTGTAGGCACAGATTTGGTCTCCTGCTCACTTAGAGACCCACAGTAAATATTTCTTCTTGCCAGCCCCCAATTACAGAGAAACACCTAACCTGAACACTTACTACGTACTGGCTGTATGCTAAGTGTTTTACATTTACCTTTAATTGACAGGAAAACTCTGTGAAGGAGAAACTGCCATTACTATAAAACTCATTTTAACTTCCCAGGATCATCACCCAGGCAACAGCAAGGCTGATGTTTGCTGCAAGCTCTGATGGGGCCAAACTCTTCACCTCATACCATAAGGTCTCTAAACTTCACATTGATGAGAGTCAATGAAGAATGACTTAATGTGACCTCTCAGTTTGATAAAGTGGTTTTTTTTCTTAGAGGCTGGACTTAGTGCTTTTACAGCCATCTGTTCAAGGATATCCAAAACACTCGGGTAATACATCTGAAGGGATGCCTTCTGGGTTGGGCCAGACATTTTCCTCGCTTTTAACTCAGAGCCACAGTTGAGAAGTGTCTTTGAAAATACGCATCTTTTTCCTGACTGGTAAGAAAAAGTCTTACATGAGGGAGAACCCAAGTCTTTCTCTTTCTTTCCTCAGAACCTATCCCAGGGCCTAGCACAGAGGGGACTCAGACATAATTTCTGAACTATCAGAACCTTCCATGAGCCATAAAACCATATATCACTCCAAGGTTCATAAAAAAATGAGGTTCCACCTTTAAAATAGCAAATGGTCTTAGCCTGGGTTCCATAAATAGAATTTGGTGCTTCTGTGAATTTAAATGGCAGTAATTACACTTCTAATTTTCTCTAACCTTAACTAAAATTTAACCCTTCCTATATTAGTTGTACCTATGACTTTGTCGCCAATAGATGAAAACTATGGGTTTTCTTACTGCATTGTGTTTGTAAGACACATCTTGGCATACTGCCTTTACCCATCACTCATACAGATAATTTCATTTCAAGAGCTGCTGCTAGCTCTTGTTAAACATTATTATGGAAACTCACAGTACTATACAACCTTGCTTTTAAAAATATTTGATAATTGCATTTCAATATAATTGGTTTTCTTTCGAATACTCTATTTCATGAACGTTAAGAGCAATGCATTCTATAGGCTATAGGCTTCACCAGACTTCGAGAAATCCCTGGTACTTCCGTGCATACGTGTATTATAGCCACCTTGGGTTCATTCCTCTATTTTTCTCCTTTATGCCTTAGTCCCTTTCTTATGGTGGTTTCAACAGGTTTAAAAATTCTATATTCATTCTTATATGGAGAGTACATCAACCATATTCACTTTCTGAACTTCCTTCTTTTACTCTCCCCTCTCATCTGTGACCTCCCCTTAGCATGACTGTTTTTCATAGTATTGCTGTATTTGTATGAGGTCTATAAATGGAAATGCCACAAGGCAACTGTCTGTGTAGCTATCTTAAGCAAAAATGTTATCTTTTTTTCTTTTTCTTATATAAAATCAGAGAACAGGAGGGCAGAACAGCTCCTGCCTGGAGGGGTTAGTACAGATGGGAGCAGGGAGGAAGTAGGGAAATGGTGAAGGACAGTGAAAATTATGCAAATACTGTGTACACATGTATCTAATTGGAAAAATGCTATCTGTGGAAACTACTCCAGGAATGAGGGAAGGGGGATGAAGAATGGTGGAGGAGGTATGACATATTTGATATATTTTAAGAACTTTTGTAAATGCCACAATGTACCCCACCCAGCACAACAACAACAAAAGTCCATGGTATACATGTACATAAGGAAAGCGCCTGTGGGAAAGCCAAGGCATTCGCACTCTGGTCTCTCTGTCAGGATTTCCTAGACAGAGGTTTGGAAATTCATCAGTTTTCCCGGGAAGCTGGTGGCTGATGCCAGTGGTGGGTCTGCCTGGCTCCCTGTGTGGTGCCCCACACCACTATCAGTGGCTCTGCCAAAACTTCTCAGGGGACAGGGATCTCTGCAGTGCAGGGGAGGCCCTCCTTTGAATTTGTGTAACAACAGCAAAGATGAGTGGCCTATAATGTTCTTTGGTGACCAGCTACTGAGTGATTCATATAAACACCATCTCCCTTTATCTCCAGCAACCCTAGGGACCGGGTTCTGGTATTTACCCCTACTTTACAGAGGACAGTATCAGGCTTTGCATGGTTCCACAACATTCTTGTTTTTAATAAAGACTCTTACTAAGTTTTCCCTAGTAGGTAGTCAATAAATAAATGAATGCTATCCTTTTAATGTTATAATTAGCATAATGACTTGATGGACTTCCTTTCAGCATATCTCTTGTTAGCAGTTTCCTTCATAGGATCTTGACCAGTTGCATATATGTTTTGTTGCTTTAAAAGAACCCACTAGTGTGTGGACATCTTTGTGTTTAGAGCGTCAATGACAACTTCCCAAGAATCTCTCTAAATGTTCTGTGATATTCATCAATCAGCACACCAATGCACCAAGGTGTACAGAAAATTATCATCTGTGTCACTTTCAGATAAATTAGTATTAGTCAATTCTCCCCCATGCCTTTAATAGAAGAATCACTAAACTACTTCAAATATTAAAATTCATCTATGTTGATTTGGTTTTCATCAGGACACATTAACTGATTCACTTAGGCCTTTTTACTATGATGGTCTTAATATGTTTTTGTTTTGTTTTTTTCAATAAGTTACTTTTATTTAAAATGGCTACCAAAATTCAGTTTTAAATTCTTTTCAGAAATCAGTGTCAGATTTGGGCATAAAAAGGACATGAGGCATCTGGCAGCACCGTTTCTGCTGTGTGTGGGTTGGGGGTGTATGTGCGTGCACACAGGCTTGGATGAGAAGATGACTTGTTTACTTTTCAATCACTTCAGAGGAAAGTACACCATGGGATTTCCCCTTGAGGTTTTCTGTCAGTTTGTATTTTTTTTTTTTGACATACTAACATTTATCTTTTGGAGACCAAACCGAAAAAGAAAAAGAAATGAATTTGACATTTGTTTTTCAAAAATATTTATTTACTAAGAGTCTGACATTTGCAAATGACTCTTTATTTGCAACGAGGTCTGGCCTCTCTCTGAGGTACACACATGGTTGGAAATTTTTAGAGTTATTAAATGGTCCTGTGGATTCAGTGCTAGGGAGACAGCTTGCTGGTGTGGAAGAACAAAGGCTTTATAGCCATTCTGACCTGGGGGAAATGAGTGAGTGAATCATCCTAACCTTAATTTCTAACCCCTAAAATGGGGCTAATCCTTGGAAGGGGGATTCTGAGAATAAAATGAGATTACAATCTGAAGTTCTTTATTTATAGCAAATGCTTAAATCCAAACCAAAGAGTTCCCTCTCAAAAGCATCTAAAATGGTATACTTAGACCGAGAGCAAAGCATGGACTCTATAAATTACTATTCTGGTATCTCTCTAATACATTTTTTTCATTCCAAAACAAAACACAAATACAGAAAAGCCCATAAAACAAGCACCTAGCCTACTGAATTACTGTAAGACCTGGACAGGTGATCATATACAGCTTTGCCAAACTCCTCCTAAGTCCTTTCCCGTTTCCAAACGGACATGCACCAGCCTCCTCTCTTCCCTCCAAAAGCAGCTACTATTCCTGACTTTCATAGTTAGGATTTGCTTGAGTTTTAAAAATGGTTTTATGACTCACATGTGCAGCTATAGCTTTCTTACTACTAACTTGACTGAATACACAAACAGAATTTGTTTTTGCAAGATTATATAAAGAAAACTTCCTATAATAAAAAATACCAGAAAAATCTTTACAAGAATATTTAATCACAACCCAATTAAGAAAGAACCATCAGACAAATCTAGACAGTATCTCTATAAAATAAATGGTCTGGCCTACTCAAACTCAATGTTATTGGAAACAAAACACATACTGTGGAGGTAACAAATCAAGTTTAATGTGAGGTCCTTGACTGGACTCTGAATTTATTAACAACAACAGATCCATAGCTGTGGGAAAATCTGAATCAATATGTGTATATTCAATGTATATATATTTTTATGTCTGTACACAAATGCCTCTGAGTGGAGACAGAGAGAGAGAGAGAGAGAGAGAGAGAGAGAGAGAGAGAGCCAGCCATGATGCTGCATAGCTGCTTTATGACTGGAGAGTTCACAGATTTTGCCGCCCAGCATCTGAATCATTAAACATTTCCTTGGCTGGAGCAGAACCTCTTGCTACCTTGTGACTGGAAATGTGGTCCAGACCAGTGTCACCTGAGAGCACACTGGAAATGCAGAGCTCTAACCCCTGCTTAAACTAGCTGAGTCAGAATCTGCCTTTGAAAGTTCCCTGGGTGATTCATTTATACATTAAAGTTTCAGAAGTACTGTTTTAGCAAAATTAAGAGTGAATTCTTTGGTCCTCTGCCACAGAGATGCTTCACTCTTATAAGGAAATCTCTTAGTGGAATTGCTTGCAAAGTGCTGGCACAATTGTAGGCAGTCGTAGCCAATAAGAAAATGCTCCACAAGAGTTTCCTAGTCAATTAGCTGGTGGAGGAGTGGAGAATGAGATATGAGTCCCCATTCATCATTCCTATAAAAAGCAAACAAATTCAAGCAAACAATAAAAAACCATTTTAGTTAATCAACAGAAGGACAGTGAGCTCAATGGGCACCCAGGATTTATTTACCTTCCAGCATACTGGCAGTATAGTTAGGCATTCTGGACAGGCTGTGAGAATATTTTTTCCCAAATGATGGAAGAAGCTTTCTTTCCATATGATGTTTTTACTCCAATTGTACATATTTTAAAAATAAGCTATCCCCATGTCTCCCACTCTCCTCCCCAGTCTCCCTCAGAAGAGTTGTGCTCCTGTGTAATCCAGCATATGGCCTCTTCTGGGATACTCCAGGGAGGTAGAGGTAAACACCTTTGGCTAAAATGTTACAAAAGAGGGACCCCACTGCTTTATCCTCTATTAGCATAAAGCCCATATGCTGGGATGTTTTAGAAACATTCTTTATATTGAGTCAAATGTGTCCCCTCTGTACCCCTAGTTACTTGTCCTCGTGCTCTAGAGCAAAAGGATAAAATAACTACTTCTGTGAGCGCTCTTAAACTCCCAGGGGACATTTAGCCCATCTCCATAAATCATTTCTTTTTCAGATTGAACATCCCTGTTTTCATTCAATTACTTTTCAAAAGATGTATTTATCAGAATCTAAAGCCTGACATCTGTTTAATCCCCAAATCTGCCTGCCTCTATCTACCTATCTATCTATCTATCCACTGGATCCTGTTTTCCCAAGCATAATGGAATCACCTCCCCGAAACTGTTTTTGCTATTCAAGGTGTTACATGATGTGTGGACCCAGCTCCCAACCCTGGGGATCTGGGTGGCACAGATTATGGTGAAGCCTCTCACTCCTTTCCCAGTGGCTGTAGCTCAAGACAACTGATCATTTGCTTTTTCTGTGCTTTTGCTTTGTGATCAAAATGAAAATTCAGGACGCTGAACAACCTGAATTCAGAATGACCTCAACTCACCTTCAGAGCTCTGCAGCTTTATCACATGAGCAGATCCAATCCATCTTTGTGATAAGTGCCCCTCTGAAGTTGACTCACTGAACTGTATTGTATGACTGCTTTTACACAAGCCTGTTAAGTTTCAGGAACTGAACCCCTGATTCTGTCTTTGCTGAGGAAGGTTCCCCTCCCACCATGCTTTCCAACTCCCCCTAACCCCCAGTTCTTCCTGAGGATACAGACCCCTGATGCTTCTGTTGCTGTGACTTTAGAAGGAGAGAAACCAGCACCAATGGGGCCTACAAGGTGCCAGGCTCTGCCCAAAAATCGATGGCATGTTTGTCCTTCCCCAGGCAGAGCCTTGTGCCTGACACATGTTCTTTTTCTGTTTCCCTTTTTGAGTCTTGTAACTACTAACCTTGTGTTTTCTAGGATCTCCCATCTGTGTCAATCCCTTCATTCTTTTTTTTGGCTGCCTGTTTGTCTAGGGGCTCTGTGTGCTCAGACAACTTGAAAGCAGAGATACATTTAGTTATTTTAATATGCTCTGCAGCAGAAAGACTGGATTGCTTTGGAAAAGCGTATTCATTATTCACACTATCGGTACCTATCAGGTCATAGCTATGCGTTCTCACTTCTCTTCTGACTTTCCACCAGAAGCAGTTTCTGCAGTTCCTTCCCACCTGAGTATCTCTCCCTTCTAAACCATGCACATTGCCTCCTGGGTCTCCGCTTTGTCCCTGCCAAGGAGGTGGCACAATACCTTGCCATCCCACCTTTCAGCTACAAATCTAAGATTTAAATGTGCTTCCTCTTAATGCACATTTAATCATTTCTAAAACCTCAGATCAGGTTCTGAAGCAATTGCTTATGAACTGGAAAACACAGCAATATTCTGCATTAGAGAATCCTGTGACTTTCAGGGATGGGGGAACTAACACAGGTGTTCTGCTAGTTTATTTCTCTCCTCCTTAACCTTAGAGAGCTGAATTTCGGCTACTTCTTGTGGTGGTTGCTATCCTCTGATCATTACTGCTCCTTTCCAGGTTTCGTGGGGAACATGACGAAAGTTATAAAAAGATCTGGCAGAACAAACTGTCTTGAGTCCAGTTTTCCCAATGTTGCCTGCATACTGGAATATCTTGGGGAATTTAAAACCTTCTTGATCCCAAGCTTCAGACCAACTAAGTCAGAGACTGCAGGAGTAAGACCGTTAATGTCTTTAAAGGTCCTCAGGTGTTTCCCTGGGCAGCCAAGGCTGGGCACAGCTATATCAGCCAAGTCAGCCCAGCCTTGGAGGGAGGAACAGGTACTTCTAATAGGGTGGGGCCTGGAAAGAGGAAGGAATGGAAGGAATTTTAATGGTGAAATTTCAGATAGATTGTTCTTGATATTGGGACCAATCATATCCTCTAATGAGGCAACATAAGGCATGTATATGCACCTTTTTTATTTTTTAAGCAGAAAAGCCAGTCAAATTGTTTCTTTGTAAGTTAACATTTTTGAAATAGGCCAAATTGTTGATAGTGACATTAAGAGTTTACATAATGAGCAACAGGCAGGAATGATTTAGAATCAGAAAAGATTTTCCAAAGGCAAGTCAGCCGGATGTCCAAATGGTGATAAGTACAGCCTCTGGAGTTCAGCCTAGGTGGAAACAAAAGTGAGTTCACAGTGGTTAGCCAGCCCCTGGGGTTTTTTCCCTGGTGAGACACTGGGACCCCTGCAAAGTAGCAAAAAGAGTCTCAGTCACCCATCTCTCCATCACCCACAGGTGTGAAGTTTATGGAACACACACAGCATGGTAAGATGGATGTGAGAAGGCAGTCTCACTGCAATGCCAGCCTCTGGGCCCCGTGCCTCTCCTGGCCATTCAGAGGATGGATCCAGGACAGTCTGTGTCACATGCATTCCACTCTGCAGTGACTCATGTCAGGATGAGGGTCTACAGTGCACTTTCACTAACAGCAGCCACATCTGGTCTCAGGACAGCTTTGCTTACTTTGCTGCTCAGGAAAAAAAAAAAATCCTACAAAAGTGAGTTGCTTTACCATAAGTCACTTGAAGCACATTTAAGTTTTGCCTGAGTCACAATGGCCTCTGCCATACACAGTCTTGATTATTTCCTTAGCCAGAGAAGGGCTGGATTGAGGGACTCAGAGAATGCTTTCTAACCAGAGTCTGTGCACAACCCAAGGTTCCTTTGGCGCTGAGTCATCACCTCAGTTAATGATTTCTCTTCCCAGGGATGACATGAGTGACTTTAATCAGCCATTTTCACCCTCTTCTAACAACTTTCCTCAACCATATTTCAATACCTGTTTTTTCTTCTGCATTTAGATCAGAAAGTGAATCTGGTTTGTTTCTCTCAAAACAAAAATGCACAGATGGCCAGCAACTATTTTGAGAGGCAAGTGCAAAATTCAAAGGAAGCACCCAGAATCCCCAGCATTCAGAAGCACCATTTGCACCAGTTGAGAAGTCAAGTCTTACAAGAATGAAGCACTTCCTCCAGGAAGCCAGTTCCAGCAGGTTGGGGCTGAACAAACATGAAATGAAATTTGGGGGCCAGGGGGCAGCATTTCTAAGTCTTCCGGAACTGGGAAAGCACTGCAAGTCAATCAAGTGCTGGAGGCATGTGATTCATATACAAAGTGGGCTTGTAGGATGGCGTGAAGCAGCGTCATTAGGGTCGAATGGGTCCAGAGGGAACCAGCTGGCTGAGATGTTCTGCTAGCAAGTTAAACATAGACAGGAAACCGCGTGTCTGATACTGTAAAAAAAATCATTTGTCTTCCTGCCAAAGTGAGGCTTGCAAACCAAAGAGACTGTTTTCATTTAAAAGAAATTCTACAACAATGAGAGAGGAAGGAATGAAACTTGGTGGCTCCACGAAGGCCTTTTCTCCTCCCTCTTCTGAACATCTCAGGTAAGAGGGCATGTGTCTCCATATTAACTGCTAACTCCTGCACGTAGCTTGTAGGTCAGCTGCATGCACCCTTGGGAACGGTACCCATCTGATGGTCTGCTTCCCTATTTAACCATGTAGGTTAACTCTGTGTCAGAAGTGATTGCTAGAGTCCTGGTTTCTAAGCTAGCTAGATACACATGATGAAATTACTTATAGTCCTATGCTGCTCCAAAAAAAAAAAAAAAAAAGAAAAAAAATTTCATTTGGCCTATACAAAAGAAGATACAGAGAAAGTCAAAATCAGAGCTGCAATTGTGACAGAAGGAATATAAATGCAGGACCACAGAGTAAAACAGAAAAGAAGGAAAGTATGCAAGGCATACGCACACACTTCCAAGGAGCAACTCTCAGGTTTGACTCTAAGCTTTCCTGGTAGTTAGGGCTGAAGGAAGAAATAAGGAAAATACAATCATCTCCATCAGGGCTGACCTGAGTCTTTCTATATGAAACCTTGTCACATTCAGTCATTTACACCCTGTCTGTGGCTGTTTGACAGCAGAGCTGAGTAACTAACTGAAAATGGGAATCCATATTCTGCAGAGCTAGAAATATTTATTATCTGGCCTTTTATCAAAGAAGTTTGCTGGTTCCTGCTCTATAGGCTTCAAGGTGTCCTTAAGATCATAAGCAAGGAGGTCCTCATGAGGGAAGCAATGTTTCCAAAGAACAGAGCATAGTGACATTTGTCCTGGCTTCCTCATGAAGACAATGGTACAATGCAGGGAATAGCACCCTACATTTTCCCCAGGGAACATGTCACTTGGTACATGGGACTCCTTATGATGGACAGCACCTCATCTAAACACAGTTTAGATGGAAAACTTTTCAGCAAGGAGAACATAGGACATTGGTATAAAGTTCCTCAGACCCCTGGTGAAAGCCAAGGATGACATTTGAACCTGGTGGAGCAGGAGCAACACTTGCAGCTCAAATTTATTGGATGCTTACTCTGTCAGGAACTGTTCTGTTCTCTACACAAATAAGTCCATTTATCCACAATAATCCAATTTAAGGTACTCATTATTTCTACCCTCCATATTTCAGAGGGGAGACAGGTGAAGAAGTTCACCCAGGGACAACCAGTTTGTATGTGGAGAAGAAGGAATAACCACACAAGGGAGACTCTGCATTTAACCCCTAACCCATGTTGTCTTCTCAAAAGAAGAACCCCCTGCTGGCCATCATTTATCAAAATTATTCCTCATAGATGTGGCCCAAAGTTGTACTTCCCACCAAGTACTTGCTGAGTGGTGAGTCTGGCTGCCATTGTAGCAAACAGAACCATAGCCTCTTATGGAAGGTGTGCGGCTTTCTGTGGGCACACACATTCTGCCACAGGGAGGTGAAAGGGTAAAGATATTTCTTTGAGATGGGGCAAGATTTTTGGATTCTTCTAGAGACAAAAGGTAGGACAACTGTGGGAATCTTAGGAAATCTCTGCTACTTTCTGGAAACTCATTTCTTTATCATTAAAATGAAAAGTTTGGGTAAGCTAATTCCATGAGTTTCATTTCAACATAAAAAGTTCTATAAAACAAGACAACCACTTGAACGTGATTAGTACAGGTGAGCACCGGCCACAGTAGGTGCCAACCCAGGGAAGCTTTCTGTGCCACCATGGCTCTATGAATTTCCCCAGCCTTGGCCATGGGCATGGTGCAGACTTGCCTGCACCTCAGTTAAGGAAGGGGTGGGCCCCTGCCTTACAACCAATCTGTCAAAAGCTTAGGATTTGAGTCCAATGCTAATTCTATCTCCTACATGGCCAGGTGCCTCTAATGTTCTAGAATAAGCTGTTCAGCTCTACATCAGGAGGAAAGCTAGGATGGTAGGAACTAGTAATGTGGGGTCTGGAAGCGTCCAGTACACTTCCTTTAATTCCCCAGGGGTCACACGCTTGCTTTCCATGTTCCCAGCTCCAGCAGATGAACATACACGTGAGAAACAAAATGATTCACGCTCTTTTTAACACCATACTACTACTCCTCCCTAGGGCTTCCCAGAACTACCAAACATCTCATAGATCCAGTTCAGAATAGTACCTTGGAAAATGTATCTTGACAACATTCATAGATGTTTCTTGCTTTGGGAAATATGGGACAGCCCCCCTCCCAGATAAACTAACATCAAAGTGATATGGAAATCAAAGTAGTATTTACTGCATATGAAAAATGTTCAGTATCACTAATCATCAGGGAAATCAAACACCAGGAGATACCATCTCATCCCGGTTAGAATGACTATTACCAAAAAGATAAATAAGTGCTAGAGGCAATGTATGAGAGAGGAACTCTCATACAGCTGGTGGGAACTAAAATTAATACAGCCTGAAAAAATCAGAAATAAACCTATCATATGGTCCAGCAATTCCACTAGTGGGTGTATATCCAAAGGTACTGAAATCAGTACCTAAAAGAGACATCTGCACTCCCATTTTCATGGCAGCAGTATTCACAACAGCCAAGCTATGGAATCAACTTCAGTGCCCATTGATGAATGGATAAGAAAAATGTGATATATATAAATACATATATTCCAGTCATAAAAAGAATGAAATTCCATTATTTGCAGTAACGTGGATAGCACTGGAGGATGTTATGTTAAGTGAAATAAGTCAGACACAGAAAGGTAAATACTGCTGGTTCTCACATGTGGAAGTTAAAACGTTCATCTCATAGAAGGAGAGAATAGAATAATGATTACTAGAGCCTGGGAGGGTGTGGGGGAGGGGAGGTGGAGAGAGGGTGGTTAACCAGAACAGGGCTATAGTTGGATATAAAGAATAACTTCTAATGTTTCATAGCACAGTAGGATTAACTATGGTTGACAACAATTAATTGAATGTTTGAGAATAGCTAGATGACAGGAATTTAATGCTTCCCATATAAAAATGTGATAAAACTCTCAGGGGATAGATATGTCAGTTTCTCTGATCTGATCATTACACATTGTATATATGTATTGAAATACCTCTTGGTACCTCCATAAATATATTTTATTACTCTGTGTCAAAAGTAAAATACATTGTTTTAAAGAGATATACTTACTGAAAAGGTGTCGAATCTTCTCTACATCCAAATCTACATTAGAA